ATGAGTTGGAATTAACTCAACGGCAACAGGTTTTGTTTTTTTTAATACAACGGTGGTACTGATGTGCAAAATTTAGATTCTGGATCCAATTCCCCAGGCATCCCAGATCCATAAACTAAGAATTGCCACATACTACTACTATGCCATAACTGCCTGTCACGTAAGGCAAAAAAGAAACCAGGGCAATTTATCCACTTCTAATGGACACGTGCAGATGAAAGGAAGCAAACAGGTTTATCCGGGCAAATCTGATGTTTCACTTCACAAGCCGAGGAAGAAGTCGGCTAGTGAAAAGCTGCCACAGTTACTGTACTATTTTCAGAAAAGACAGTTGACTTTAGTCCAATGGTATGGAGATAAATTTCTTAACATTGCTTTAAAAAATTTATTTAAAATAATTTGGCAATCTGCCTAAAGTTTCCAGTCCCAAGACAGTTGTACTTCCTTCCCACTTTCAGTCACACCAAAAAAAAAAAAAAAAAAAATTGCTATCATTATACTGCAAAAATCCATTAATCCTTTAGTAATCGAGGTAACAGAAACATGGTCACAAAATCAGATAAAGCAATTTTCGTAAAGACAACAAACTAGGAAGACAAAAACATACTTTTATTTCATCAGCAGTACCAATTAGCATACAGAGGAAACTAAGTCAGTAGAGATTGATGTGAGTAAGACTTAAAGGACAGGCTTGGAGAGGAAATGACTCAGAGGGAGGCAAAGACAGGGAACCCTAGTGGTTTGATTTTTGCTGACAAGTACTGAAATAGATAATTTTCTGCCATAACACTGGCTCTTGCCAACTGCCCCAGATACACCAAGAAGAAAGGATGCTCAAATGAAAGGTATTGATATTACTATACAGGCTAAGGAACTGTCATCTGTGGTAACATCTGATTTACCCCATGATAAAGACAATACCTTATCTTCACCTATGAAATTAGAATGTAACTATTGAAAAGGCCATTTACGTTACAAATAATTTTGTTTAACCCTAATCCTTAGAGTGTTGATAACTTCTTTCCTAAGTTGCAGTTTTAATTTTGCTATGATGAATCAACTTTAAAGTCTAAACGTGTACACTCTACAGCTTTAAGATTTGCTGAGTTTTGTGTGCACACACCCCCAAGTATCTGTCAGTTTGCCGTACTATAAAAAGAACGGGGCATCAGGATTGGAGGAAGACTCATTAACAACCTGCGTTATACAGATGACATAACCTAGCTTGCTGAAAGTGAAGAGGACTTGAAGCACTTACTGATGAAGATCAAAGACTACAGCCTTCAGCATGGATTACACTTCAATATAAAAAAAAAAAACAAACACAAAAATCCTCACAACTGGACCAATAAGTAACACGATGATAAACGAAGAAAAGACTGAGGTTGTCAAGGACTTCATTTTACTTGGATTCACAATCAACACCCATGGAAACAGCAGTCAACTCAGACAACGCATTGCATTGGGCAGATCTGCTGCAAAAGACCTCTTTAAAGTGTTAAAAAGCAACGATGTCGATGTTGCTTTAAGGACCAAGGTATGCCTGACCCAAGCCAAGGTGTTTTCAATCGCCTCATATGCATGCAAAAGCTAGGTCATGAATAAGGAAGACTGAAGAATTGATGCGTTCGAATTACCGTGTTGGCAAAGAATACTAAATATCCCATGGACTGCCAAAAGAACGAACAAATCTGTCTTGGAAGAAGTACAACCAGAATGCTCCTTAGAAGCAAAGATGGTGAGACTTCTTCTCACATAATTTGGACATATTATCAGGAGTGATCGGTCCCTAGAGAAGGATATCACACTTGGTAGAGGGTCCGCGGAAAAGAGGAAGACCAACAAAGAGATGGATTGACGCAGTGGCTGCAACAATGGGCTCAAACATAGGAACGATTGTGAGGATGGCAAGGACCGGGCAGTGTTTCATTCTGTTGTACATACGGTCACTATGAGTTGAAACCTACTCGCCAGCACCTAACAACAAACAACAATAGCAACAACAACATTTGCATACAGGTTTTGGATCCTGACTGGGATTTTAGCTTTACTCTAAGACAAGAATGAGTAAGGGTTTCTAGTATTTCCATTTCTCCATCATAGTTCCACCCACAGGGATCCAAGTAAATGTTGACTGGCAAACAGAGTTTTAGCAGATTTTCGTCTTAATAAAAATCTTTTCTGGAAAGCTTTAACTCAATTTTTAAAGGTAAATGGATTTTGCACTTAAAGCGACTATTATAAGCAACAATACAGTTCCTATAACTTCTTCCATAATGGAACCAGCAGTAACTCTGGGTCTGTTCTCACAAAATCTAAGGACAGTTATACCTTAAACTCCATGTGTCAGAATAAAAAACAAATTAAACTTCTAATCTCTAAATCACATGGGTAATATTTACTGATCACCTAGCTGGTCAGAAAAAATAGACACCTATTATGGGAAATGCTAAGAAAAAGAGTTGGGAAAGCCCCAGAAATCCATATACTCTGTGAGGCTGTTAATTTTAGTCAATCAACATTCATCGTGAAGTGTACTGATTGATGATTAAAGAGCCTCCAAAATAATTTATTTACTTAATCTATGAAATTTATATTACTTGATTATATGAAACACACCATCAAAAAAGTGTTAAAGAATCAGACTGCTGTGGGTAGTGGGAAAAAAATGTAATTCAATCTGGGTTAAATCAAAACAATCTTTCATAAATAAGGTGTCAAGCTATTTTTGTTTTTCTATTACTGGGACTGGAAAGTCTACCAGAAATAGGTAAGTGCCACCATCCCCACATTTAGGTATCAAGTCAACAAGTGTCTCTTCTCATATGAAGAAACCTTAAACAAGGGTCAAGCACAACAATTAATCCTATTGAGTTTTTTTAAATTAGATAATAGATCCCTTCCCTCCAACACCTAATGAGACCACAGAGCGGGTGGTGAAAAGGTGCGGTAATTTGGGAGCATTTTTCGAAAGGGTGGGGCGCTGCTACAGCTGGCAGTTCTTTCCAGCCAGAGGGCAGACTGAGGGTACTCAACATGGGGGAGAGGGAGCATGGTAGGGGAGGGTGATGACTGAGTAAAAGATTTGTAGAAAGAAAAGGAGGTAGGGATAAAGGCAATCTTTTCCTACTTTGAAATTCTACCTGGGCCACTTGGGGAGTAGTCTGCCACCAAAAGTTACCTTAATGACTGAACTAGATTAGCACCAGAATTACCTCATCAGATCCTGCAAAGGCTCTACCTCACCTATACCGCGACAAACAGAATAAAGGCCAGCTTCTTTAATAACTGAATGATCTCTAACTACTTTTCTCCAGTTGTATCTCCACTTACCCACTTGTCCTTTTAAAAGAGCTGTGCCTTTAAAGCTGTTCATTCTGCCTGGTCCTTTGCCCCCTTCTGAGATGGACCAACTCTACTTATCCTTGAAGATTTAAAAAAAAAAAAAAAAAAAAAAACTGCCTTTCAAGACAAAACTAGGTCCTCCTTCCTTAAGTGTCTCATGGTTGAAAGCTGAATAAATGAATAATAAATCAAACTCCCTAAGCTTGCACTATCATTCAATTAATATAATCCGAGAGTCAGTATTACTGTAATCAGTATAGTTCAAGTATTCCCCACGTTTGGGTTTTCCAGGGTTGGTCTTGTGGAGAAGCTGGATTGCAACCAAAATGATTGAAGAGCTGTAGTACTAGTATTAGTAAGAATGAAATGAATCTGGGTTACTGAGCTTGGGGAAAGAAAGAAAAAAAAAAAAAAAACACCTGGGAAGAAGGAACTAGCAATAATCAAACATCGTGTATCAGAGTCCGAAAAGTAGTTGTCTTTACCAGAGAACAGAAATGGATTACACACAATAGGGATTTCAGGAAAGACTTCTTACTACATAATAGTTGCAAGACACTGGAGTTGACTACTAAGGGAGTCTGTGAGCCCTATTATTGTAATAATTACTTAACCTCATAGAGGTGTTTCAAAAATTATATAAAAATCCGCGTAAAAGATCTAGTGTAGTGCCTGGCTCACACTGTGGCTCAAACGATGGTTATTAATCTCTTCCTAAGCGTTCTTTAAAGACTGACTACCAGAAAAACTTTTTGGGCCACCTAGGAAGATGCAGTATGACCAAATAATGCTAAAATTCCTTCCCTTTCATGAAGCCGTCTGTAATTACAGCCTCCACATCTTTCTATTGGAACACTTAAATGACAAAAACACATTGCCTTAACACGCCTACAAAGCAGTGGATCTGGGAAAGATTACATTTTGTCCAAAAGAATGTCATAACTAGCACTTACACGGCACTTCGTAGTTTTCAAAACGTTGGGGGTTGGGCGGTTTGCAAATGTGGCCACCTTGTTTTTCGAATACACGCTGGGACACAAGTTCTAATAAGTACCGATGCTTAGACAAGAGGGCCTGACCAGGAAAAGACGGCCTCAGTTGCCGAAAATAAAGAAAGAGGCTCCAACTGAAGACGAAGGTGGCAGAGTCCGGACTTGGCTAGCAAAAAGAGAGGGAAGTTTCAAGCGTTAGGTTTGCATCTGAAGCAGGAACTTGCAAAGGGAAACCTCACAGGAAAAGGGGCAGAGGACAGCTGACGAGGGGCCACTAGGGCAAAAAGAGGAAAAGCACTGGAGGACAGCCAGGAACCCATCAGCGCCAGCCTCATACCTGCTCTCCCCGCTCGCCTCCTCGACGCCTCGTGATGACCTCACCTGCGGCGCCCAATCCCAACAAGCGTAGGGCGCGAGGCGCCTCAGCCAAACAGTCACATCCGGGGCCAAGAGGAACCGCGAGAGAGCGGGGCGTGCGTCCTTGCTTCGTGCCCTCAATTGGCATGGCGGAGCTACGGGCGCGCCGCGGGGAGGCCACGCGAGTCGGGCGGTTCCGGCGCCCGCCCTGAGCCTCGGGAGCGGGGGAGGGGCGGGGACGCCCGTGCGGCCGGCGCGTCTGCCCTCAGTGAGGCGGGGCGCGCGGTGGGCGCCCCCTGGCAGGGGCGGGAGTCGTGGAGGTGCCGGGCTGTGAAAGGGGCGGTGAGCAAGCTGCTCCGGTCTCAAGGCGAGGCTTGGCCTCCAGAGCAGAGACGGTGGAACGCGGCGGCGGCAGCGGCCTTCGGGCCGGCTGGTGAGGCGATGGCGGCGCCGACCCCGGGAGCTGGAGGAGCCTCGGGCGGCGCTGGCTGTAGCGGCGCGGGCGCCGGCGCGGGCTCGGGATCCGGGTCTGCGGGGGCCGGGGGCCGGCTGCCCAGCCGGGTGTTGGAGTTGGTGTTTTCCTACCTGGAGCTGTCCGAACTGCGGAGCTGCGCCCTGGTGTGCAAGCACTGGTACCGCTGCCTGCACGGCGATGAAAACAGCGAGGTGTGGCGGAGCCTGTGCGCCCGCAGCCTGGCCGAAGAGGCTCTGCGCACGGACATCCTCTGCAACCTGCCCAGCTACAAGGCCAAGGTGAGGGAGCCCCGGGCCACGCCGCTGCCCCCCGTCCCGCTGCTCGGCGCCGCTCTCAGTGCTTCTCATCTGAGCGTCTGAGTCAGACGCTCGCCTCCCCATCCCGCCTTTCCTTCGGTCCGGTTAAGACCTCACCTCACCTCTCCCCTCCACTGCCCTCCATAAAGATCCTCTTCTCTTTGGATTGCTGTACACAGTGTCACTGTTAAGTTCTGCTCTTTAACCCACCCCACTTCTGTGATCCACTCTGAAGGACCAGATGCTTTCCCATCACTGGCTTCCATTACTTACTCTACTTTCGACAGTCTTTCCCCTTAATAAATACCGACCACTCCCATTGTTGTACCTTTTAATACTATCATCCCATTTTTCTTCCTGCCCTACAAATAGACGCTATTAAATCATTTCCGCTGCCTTATTTTCTCTTAATATCGGCTTAGTTTCTTAGATCTTTGCTTTCACCTCACCTTTTCCTTTATTTATAACCATTTTTTCTTTATTTTCGCCCAAGTTTCCGTTAAGTCTCTCCACAGTGTTTCAGGCTTACAAATGAGTTCCCAGGCATCTTGCTAACTTTCAAGATACAGGCATTCATAGAACATCCTCCCATCGGTACCACTTATTGTCTTAATATTGCTTTGTCCCACTAGTATTGATTAGCTCCTTGCCAACTTTTTCATAGGTCCCACCTTGATGGTGTGTCTCTTCTGTTCCATTTGTCATCAGACGTGATGTTTCCAGTTTTGCTTCTTCCTTTTTTCCCTTCTAGATTCTTGTGCAGACTCATGCCTTTCTTCATATACAAAATAAAAATGTCAAGTAACAGGTTGTGGTAGGGGGTGAGAGCATTCTCCAGGCACGATAAACAAAGGGCTCGGGCTTGGCTTCAGCTGGACCAATAACAGCTCTCCAGTGTAGCATTCACCCAGAGCGTATATGAGAGAGGGTAAAGTCTGTGACTTGGAATGTGATAAACATACAAAATACATTAATAACTAAAAAGAGAAGTCCCTTTTTAATGCCAATGGGTGTCAGAATAAGAAGTAAAAAAAGTTCATGTGAAATAGATGTAAAATTCATTTTTTTGTAGTAAAACCAGATTTTAGTTTAATACAGTAAGGAACATTGCTGTTGAATATGTTCACTTTTAAGTAGTTTTTATATTAAGTGAAATAACATGTTAATTTCTTAGGCTAATATTTGTGCCTGCTAGATGCTCAGTGTTTGCTAGTTATAATTTCTGTGGTGGAGTGCAGAAGGTTACAGTTTTGTCCTACTTTGCCTGATAAACATGTAGTTTTCATAGGTTTTATTTACTTTTTTTTTCTCATGAAGTGTATTGGTTTTAAGAAATTTTTATAATTGATAATAAATAAGATGTTCACATGATTCAAGATGGCAAAGTGATATACAGGAAAATGTCTTCCTTTCACCCTTGTCACTCAGCTACCCAGTTCCCCTCTTCAGAGGCAACCTGTGTTATCAATGTTATTTATATTCTTCCAGAGTATTTTAGGTTTCTGAAGTTTGTTGTTTGATTTTTGGTTTCTGAAGTTTTTCATACTTGGCATGTTGTTGTTGTTGTTAGGTGCCGTCAAGTCAGTTCTGACTCAGAGCGATCCCATGTGACAGAGTAGAACTGCCCCCGTAGGGTTTTCTAGGCTGTAATTTTTAGAGGAGCATATCATGAGGTCTTTCTCCCGAGGAGCCAGCGGGTGGGTTTGAACAGCTAACCTTTGGGTTAATAACTGAATGCTTAACCATTGTACCACTAGGACTCCTGTAGATATTGTAGACTTATACTAATGACATGTTCATTCAGATGTTGCAGGGCATTTTGCTTGAATATCTTGAGGATAGATAACAAAGACTAAATCAAAGTCAGTCAGATAGTCAAACAGGTGAACCCTTAGTCTAGTAGAGGAGAAAAAAATGTATAGAAATAACTGTAATGCGTGATAGGAATTGCTCCTTACTGTTAAAAAACAACCAGTTGCCGTCGATTCAGTTTTGACTCATGACAACCTCATGTATTGCAGAGTAGAACTGTGCTCTATAGGGTTTTCAAGGCTGTGACCTTTTGGAAGCAGATTGCCAGGCCTTTTTTCCAGGGTGCCTCTGAGTGGAACCCTTTTGGTTAGCAGTCAAGCACTTAACTGTTTGCACCACCTAGGGACTCCTCCCTTACTGTTAACCCAAACTGACTCTGTTGGACAGAGGAGAACTGCCCCCTCAGGAGTCTAAGGCTGTAGTCTTCATGGAAACAGACCGCCATGTCTGTCTCCCGCAGAGGGGCTGGTGGGTATGAACCTACAGCCTTTCCGGTTAGCAGCTGAGCACTTAACCACTGCACCACCAGGGCTCCTTCCTTACTGTTAGGGGTATAAAAAAATATGCTAGAAGTTCAGAGATTTAAAAGTTGAGTTGGGGATTGGAAAAGATTTGAGGTTGAGGTTGTATTTGAGCTGAATTATTTTAAAGGTGGGGAGGATTTGAACATTTTAGGAAGAGGAAATACCCTGAACAGAAGCAGGACAAGAATAAAGCAAAGGGTTTGTGTAGCAAACATTTTTATTCAAAAAGTGTGAGTGCCAGACACTATTATCTTGGGGATACAGTGGTGAATAAAACAGACAGGAACTCTTATGGATGTCTTGCTTATGGAGCTTACAGTCTAGTGGGGAAAATAGATATTCATGAAATAATCACACAATTATTAAATTGCATCTATGAAGGAGAGATACATGCTGCTCTGAGTGTCAGTAGTGGAGAATTTGACCCAGGTAGGCTTTCTCTGAAGGAAATGATGTTTAAACTGAGACCTGAAAGAAAGGAATAAATAGGCCAAGGGGAGAGAGAAGACCTTTCCAAGAGGGAACCTGCTAAGTATTACAGGACAGAAAACAGATCAATGTGGCTGGAGTCTAGAGAGCAAAGGTGAAGCAGGTTTGACATTAGATGAAAGAGGTGGATTAGGGCCAAACTACAGGGAAGCCATTTGAAATTTTAGGAAGAAGGGGTTAGGAGGGTAGGGCAATTTGCAGTGTTTTTGAGACATCTAGGCTATTTCATTCAGGTAGGCAACTGTTACAGGTTGGAGCTTAGAGGAGAGGTGCGGGCTAAAGATGTAAAATAGTTCAGTTAGATTTAATTGAAGGGAAGTAGTGGGAAATATGATTGTAAAGGTAACCTGGAACCAGATATATCATGGAGGGCCGTGAAATACAGCTTTCATTCTATAGTTTGGGCTTTGTTCTACAGTTGGAAACCATCAAAGCTTGAACAGGGGAGTGACAAAGTAAGAGCTGTGCTTCAAAAAGATTAGGCCATGACATGAATTGGAGCAGGGAGGGGCTGTAGAGGTAATGCTGACAGTGTTGAGGCTAGAGATACTTAAGACCCAAACAGGTGTAGAGGGGATGAGGGGATGTCTGGGAGAGCTGTTGCAGAGAACAAGTCCACATAGGCAGACAGCTGATGGGATGAGTGAGACAAGGAAGAAGGAGTAGTCAGTATGATTTTCAGGGAGCCTCGGTAACAGAGAAGGATGGGAACAGGTTTCAGATAGCATAAAACTGCAAAGTGTTTGGATTTGGTCAGTCTATTCAGGAGTTAGAGTTCCCATCCTTCTCTGTGGGAGCAGGTTTGGAATAGCAGAGTTTGGAAACCCTGGTGGTGTAGTGGTTACAAGTTTGGCTGCTAACCAAAAGGTCGGCAGTTCAAATCCACCAAGAGCTCCTTGGAAACCCTATGGGGCAGTTCTCTGTCCTGTAAGGTTGCTATGAGTAGGAATTGGCTTGACGGCAATGGGATTGTTTTTTTTGGTTTATTCAGGAGTTGTCTTTTAAAAGTTCATATTTTACATGTTACCAAGTAGAATCAATCAGTGCAATCACACTTGGAATCCAACTGCCATTCTCTAAATTTCATTCTTAGCACCTAAACTAGGTCTTAAAGCTGTTTGCTATAATGTAAAATCCAGGTTGTGCATGGGACTGTGAGACAAAACCATGGATTGTTTTTATTAATTTATGTATGTATCTTTCCATTTAATCTGAAATTTGCTGTATCCATCTCTAAAAGATAAGGATACTTTAAAAATACATAATTACAATACCATTATCACATCGGAAAAGAAATTAACAAAAATTTCTTAATGTAAAAAATGAAGTGTACAAATTTCCAATTGTCTCATAATGTCAAAGTTGTGGTTTTAATTTGCAGTTTTTTAAATCAGTTCTATATAAGGTTCCTATTTCAAACAGTTGATATGTCTCTTAAGTCTTATTTTAGTGTAGATTCACCCTCCATCTCCCAACTCCTACAATTTCTTTGTTGAAAATTGTTTACTTTGTAGAGTTTCCCTGGTCTGGATTTTGCTGATTTCATTCCCATAGTGCTGCATAACATGTTCTTCTGTCCTCTGTATTTCTTGTAGAGATTTGAACAATTTAGATTAGATTTTATTTTTGTCAAAATATTTTTTACTAGAATCAAGCAATTAGGCGTGTGTTGGAAAATAAGATCTACATAATTAAGTGTTGTATATACAGACTATGGTGGCTAGAAATTCAGGAGACAGAAACGAGGGGGATTGGATGACCTTAGTATAGCTTCGTGGAGGTGGTAGGACTGGAGCTGGTCTTAGAGGACAAGTGAGAGGTAGAAAGCAGGTTTGATACCACAAACAAGGAGAACAACACAAAGATAGAAAGGGGAATAGGAGGAACCAGATCAGGAGGGCTTTGAAAACCAGGCAGAAGAACTTAGAATTGATATGGTAGTAAATGTGGAACCATCAAAAATGTGGAAATATTGAACTGGGATGTGATGTAATAAAGGTGCTACTTTAGAAAGACTTGTCTAGAGAGAATTCAGGTAGAAGGTTAAGGTCTGAGTCTGGAAAATTTGCCGGGGGGTGGGGGTGGGGGGCAGAGGTAGGGTAGTAACCAAAAAAGGATTCAATGAAGGATCAGTTCAAGGAAGTAGGAAGATAAAGAAGTTTGAGGAAGAGGTTGTGAATGGTGTCATTGTGACAGAGAATAGGATCAGAGAAAAAGCAGTTGGAGTTGATAAGAATTGGGGAATAAGCATGGGGAAGTATTAATTAAATATCTTATAATGAGGAATTAGTCTCTTTATAATATTTTCTTCAGTTATGTAGCAATAGTGAATATTTTGGGGATATTCTCCTCCTTCATTTAATCCTATGTTCTGATATTTCACATACCTTAAAGTGTTTGTGTTATAACAGGAACAGATAGGAAAAAGTTTAGAAATACTTCACTTTTACAGTAAGCCTCCTTATGAAAACATAGGATACCTAAAACATGCAGATACTGTTTTAAACTCTCTGCTCTGCAGTGCAATAATGAAATAGTAAAGTATGGGCTAACGAGACTCTTGCACTAACTGGCTGTTGACTTTGCCCAACACAGCCTTTTCGGTCTGTGTCCCTGTCTTTGTGTTGGACTAGGTTATCTTTAAGGTCCCTCCCAATGCTGACATTCTGTGACTCTGGAATTGATTTCCCAGTTTAACTAGAGTGATAAGTCCCAACCGTAGGCTGCTTTTTTCTAGTTTCAATAAGGTACAGGGGGGCTTTTTTTTTTAACATACAAACCAAAAGTTTTAAATTATTGAAACATGAGAAATTGCTATTATTTGTATAGAATAGCTGTTTCATAATGTCTTTATTTTAAAAGCTTAAAAAAATCTCTAATTATTGAAGGGTCAACTAACCTGTCCTATCAGTGGTGGCCACTGCTCTTAATGACTCTTTATAAATGCCAGCGGTTGAATTTAGAGCTGCTGACCAAGGTCTCTATTTTACTACATAATTCTGTTTGGTGACAGCAATGCTAACATGGAAACTGTGTATCTTTAACTTTTCAATATAAAAATATCAAGCATAAACAAAAGTCAAGAAAATAGTTTCATGAACCTCCCAAGACTCTTCACTCAGCTTTAACAGTGAGTACTTTGTGGCCAATTTAGTGTCGTGTGTATCCCTTTACTATCCCACTACACCCCTGGATTATTTCAGAGCAATTCCCAGACATCAGTATATCATCCATAAACAGTTTAGTATTCTCTCTAAAATACAAGGATTCTTGTTTATGTCTTTGTGTTAGTATTTTTGTCAAACGATGAAGAACCAAGTTGGCAATTATTTTTAATGTTAAACATTTTATTATATTAATATCCCATCCCGCAACTTTAACCATTTTTTGGAAATAACTTTTTACATTATTTAAAAAATATATAACATTGTTATTTAAAAACATGTAGCCTCGGGTTTGGTACTGTCTTAGTTTTCTAGTGCTGCTGTAACGGAAATACCACAAGTGGGTGGCTTTAACAAACAGAAATTTGTTTTCTCACAGTTCAGGAGGCTAGAAGTCTGAATTCAGGATGCTGGCTCTAAGCGAAGGCTTTCTCTCTCTGTCTGCTCTAGAGGAAGGTCCTTGTCTCCTTTGAGCTTCTGCTCCTGGGCGATCTTCATGTGGCTTGGCATCTCTCTTCCCCTATCTCTGCCTCATGGCTTGCTTGTTTAATCTCTTTTATATCTCAAAAGAGATTGATTTAAGACACACCCTACACTAATCTCATTAACATAACAAAGACAACACATTCTCAAATGGAATTGTAACCACAGGTGTAAGGGTAAGGATTTACAACACGTATTTTTGGGCGACAATTCAATCCATTACGTTTTACGATTTAAAAAAACTCCAATTTCTGTTTCTTTGGTCTGTTTCTCGTCTTTTCAGATACGTGCTTTCCAACACGCCTTCAGCACTAATGACTGCTCCAGGAATGTCTACATTAAGAAGAATGGCTTTACTTTACATCGAAACCCCATTGCGCAGAGCACTGATGGTGCAAGGACCAAGATTGGTTTCAGTGAGGGCCGCCATGCATGGGAAGTATGGTGGGAAGGCCCTCTGGGCACTGTGGCAGTGATTGGAATCGCCACAAAACGGGCCCCCATGCAGTGCCAGGGTTATGTGGCATTGTTGGGCAGTGACGACCAGAGCTGGGGCTGGAATCTGGTGGACAATAATCTGCTACATAATGGGGAAGTCAATGGCAGTTTTCCACAGTGCAACAATGCACCAAAGTATCAGGTGAGAGACTGGGTATTTTCTCAGATATGGGCCTTAGTCAGATAACATTTGAATTTGTTTTAAATTTACAGATTGTTATATAGCAGCTTTGTATCTCTTTTTGGTGTAACTCAGCTGTTGTGGTAATAAGCTTTTAATATCTCAATATTTGTTTCCTAATACATATTCTCCCTTGAACAATTCATATTTGCTGTAGATCAGGGCTTGGCAAACTTTTTCTGTAAAGGGCCAGATAGTGAATATGTCAGGCTTTGTAGGTAGCATAGTCTCTGTCACAGCTTCTCAACTCTGCTGTTGTAGTACAAAAGCCGCCATAGGCGATATGTAAATAAATGAGCATGGCTATGTTCTAATAAAACTTTATTTACAGACTGCACACCAGATTTGGCCCAGGTGCTGTAGTTTGCCAACTCATACTCTAGATTGTCATCTTTCCAATATCGAGGCACATCCACATCTTTCCAGAGACCTCATCCCCACAGATGCACGTGTGTGTGCGCACACAAACTAATCCTCTGCTACTTATTAATCTGTTTGTGGATTCAAATCCCCTGAAGGCTTCAGTGATTTCTGTAGTGATAGGAAAGTTCAGGTAAACTGTATTTTTTCGTTCTTTTCTTCATTTTAGCCTTAAGCCATACTCACTAGACTCTAGAGTCAGAATTATAGTTCCTATTTATAAAAAAATCATATTATTACCATCGATTCAGCAGGGTCTAAAATACAGTAGTCTGATAAGAAATGGAAAGTCTTGAAGAACTATAGATTATGTATTTCAGAGCCACATGTGGCTTGAAAGCTCTAGACTCAGTAATGATGTCAAGTCAGGCATACTAAAGTAGAAGAACTAAAAATATATTCCATTTCCTGAGGTATAAAAGCCTGGAAGGATTCTCTTTTATAGAATCCTTTACTTGCTGTCCTTTCAGGCACTGCAAAGACCCTAAGGAGAAGGGTGTCTGAACTTAATAAATCACTGAAGATAAAGTCCTGTGACTAGTCTTGTTATGGTTTTGTAGTGAAAGTCCTTAATTCTTTGTTTTTTAGAGAATATACTGTATATGATTTCAATTCTTTTAAATTTATTGAGACTTGTTTTATTCCTAGCATATGGTGTTTCTTGGTAAGTGTTTCATGTGTGCTTGAAAAGAAAGTGTATTCTGTTGTTGAATGGAAAGTTCTGTAAATGACAGGTCAAGTTGGTTGATAGTTGCCAAGTTGTTCTATATCCTTACTGATTTTTCTTTCTACCTGTTCTATTGTTTACTGAGAGGAGTATTGAAATCTCTAACTATAGTTGTTAACTTGTCTATTTCTCCTTCAAGTTCTGTCAGTTTTTGCTTCATGTATTTTAGAGCTCTGTTATTAGGTGCATATACATTTACAATTGTTATATATCTCCCTGCCTGATTAACTCTTTTGTCCTTCTTTGACTGTAGTAATATTCCTTGTCATTAAGTCTGTTTTATCTGATATTAATAGCCAGTTCAGCTTTCTTATGCTTACTGTTGTATGGTATATCTTTTTCCATCCTTTTACTTTCAGTCTGCTTTTATATTTAAAGTGAGTCTCTTAGACAACATATAGTTAAGTTAGTTGGGTGTTGCCTTTTATCCAATCCAGTCTCACAACCACTGGCTTTTGATTGGAATGTTTAGTCCATTTATATTTATTTAGTGTAGTTACTAGACAGCTTGATATTGCCCTTGTTTCTGTGCCTCTGAAGCTGTGTTCGTTTTTGGTCAATCTTTTTTTCTCTCTGTTATTTGGATTGGGTAATTTCTACTGCTGTATCTTCAAGTTCATGGATTCTTTCTTCTCCTATCTCAACTCTGCTATTGAGCCAATCTTAATGATTTTTGGTTATTATAATCTTCAGCTCTAAATTTTCATTTGGATCTTTTTTATAGTTCTCATTTCTCTGTTAAGATTCCCTGTCAACTCATTAATACTGTATTTTTCATTAATTCTTTCAGCATATTTATAATAGCTGCTTTAAAGTCTTCGTCTGCCAAATCCAACATCTAGGCCCACTTGGAGCTAGTTTCTATTGACTACCTTCCCCCCCCCATCTATGGGTCATATTTTCCTGTTTCTTTTCATATCTAATAGTTTTTTATTGAAAATTGGACATTGTAGATAATATGTAGTAGTGACTCTAGAATGTTTTGTTTCTTTAGAAACTTTTATTCTTCTGAAGAGTGTTGATTTTCTTGTTTTAGTTGGCAGTTAACTTGCCTGAACTCGTAAACTGTCAACTCTGTCTCCCGCATAATGTGCAGCCCCTAATGTCTTTGCTCAGTTTTTTCAGCTTCTAGCTGCTGCATTTGCAGCCTGGTCTCCCCTGTGCCTGTGTAATACAGTGGTCAGACAAGGATTTGGAGAATTTTTTCTTAGCTTTTGGGGCTCATCTTCTCTGTGGTTCCCTTGCTTTTGGAGTTCATCTGAGTTTCCAGTTGCTCTGCCATCTCCAAGTTTTGCCCGTTGACACCTAAAGTTAGTAAGACCTCTGCTTTCTGCTCCCATGCTTGTGTGTATGCTGTGTGTTAGTCAGAGGGGGAGCAGACTTGTAAATTTCACCAGGAGTAGTTCTATCTTCTCAATTTTATCTTCTGTAAAATAGGGATAACTCCTAGGATTACTGTGAGAATTAAATAAGATAATACAAATAAAGCACAAAACAAATACCCACCACAATACTAACTTTCATTTCTGTTTTTCGCTGTGCATGTTTTAGTAGTAGCAGTAACAGTGATGATCGTTTGGAGATTCTTAGGTCTATAAAGTGGGGTGTGGATTAATCTGTGAGTTGGGTAAAGGGAGGAAAAAAGCAAGTGTTGGCGATTATTTGTGATAGGAAAGACACTAAAGGAAAATAAATGATAATGGCAGGTGTTGCCGTGATCAGGAAGTAGTAAATTTTGATTTTTGATTGCAAAATTCTGCCTCAAAGTATAGTTTGACAGTCATTGCTGCTGTTTTTATAACAGATGTTTCAGAACAGTGAACCAAAAAAGGCCATTTAATAAGCCTATTCTGCATCTTTTAGCATCTATAGTCAGATTTGGCAATTCATGATTATATCCACTCCATATTATATGTGGAAGTGCATTGTAAAATTTAAAGACTATGTAAGTGTTGTTTTATTATAGTAATTTGAGAAAGTTATTTAGGCAGCCTTTTTTTGGTAAAATATACAAAGTTGTAGATTTCAGCGGCAATCCTCTTAAGAAAAGTCTTTAAACAAAGTGTAAATAAAATCTTAGGTCTTTTAAGGGGATACATTAAATTTTTAGCAAAAGTGTAGATCTCATGTGAATCTTCAGTTTAAAAACAACAAAAAACTACTAAAGAAGTGTGCTTGATGAGATTGATGTATGTTCTTTCGTCTAGATGTTTCTCCCTGGCCAGAAACCTTCCTTTTTTATTTCTTTTTAGACAACTTTCAGGATATATATATATATATATTTTTTTTAAGATATGTATTATTAATAATACATTCAACTTTTTGATTTATGTTATAGTTCTTGTAGCTGTCTGTACCCTTGGAGGTTTTCTTCTAACCTTTTTTTGATGTCTATTTGCAGATAGGAGAAAGAATTCGAGTCATCTTGGACATGGAAGATAAGACTTTAGCTTTTGAACGTGGATATGAGTTCCTGGGGGTTGCCTTTAGAGGACTTCCAAAGGCCTGCTTGTATCCAGCAGTGTCTGCTGTGTATGGCAACACAGAAGTGACTTTGGTTTACCTTGGAAAACCTTTGGATGGATGACAGTGGCTTCGTTGGGATGAAAGACTGCGTGGAGGAGATCTACTTGTGGAAAGTAGAATCACGAAGTGACAGTGTCATACATGCATGTCCAAGAAACATCTGAAAAACGCACGGGATTGTAGACTGGAGAAGCAACTCTACAGCAGTGATTATCTTAGTGTTTCCTCCTTCTACCAGGCCAGAAAAATCCTCAGGGTTGCAGTTGGTTGAGTGGGCAGTTGACATATGCATGTTGCAACAGATTTTGTCTCTAAGTTAGCAGTGTGTGATTTCCAACTTTTAAGGTGAGATACAGAGATGCCATAAAAGGGATAAGATAAGGAAATAGCAAGATTTTTAAGTAGTGTGTTTGTGAAGAAAGACTGATCCCATTTTACAACTGCCTGTTCTTTCTCCAATCCCTTTTTTCCAGCCAGCTTGATTATTAGAGGAGTATGAAGCTGGTTACGTTTTATTTAATATTTTTAATATATTGAGAAGCATGGTCTGCCTGGACTGCACTTCTCTGACAGTGAGATATAAAGTTGTGCAGCTATTTTAAAAATTGTATATACAATATGTGTGTAAAAAAAACTATATAAAAAAAGGACAAAGGGGTTGCTTTGTTCTAGTTCGTTTTCTTAAAAACCACTACATGGTACAAATTTAGAATAACATTTAGGGACAGACAAAGGAGAAGATTTTTAAAAGATATGTGTTGTATTGGCTCATTTTGTATTGTATTTGGCTTACAGTTTCCATAGCAATTATAGCCTGGGTTTTTTTTTTTTTTTAAACAATTAAAATTATAATAAAGATACACTTAATCTCCTGGCTAAAGATTGAGGGAAGGCAAATCTATTTCTAATTATACATGTATCAGTAAGGATGATCTAAACATCATCATAATGTGCTTCTTCTAGTACCTGGTTTTATTTTTTGGCCTTCTGAGAAAAGTGTCTCATAAGAACACAGAACATCTTATAGGCCTCAAATAAGAAAGCTATTGGTCATAGACCCTAGGAAATGAATTGATTAATTGTCCTTTTATTTTATAACTGTCTAATGCAATAGATATTATCAGAAAATTTTTAATTCTGTATTGTTTACATCATGCAACAATTTAAGCTTTAGACCCTTCATTGGGGCTATCAAGAAAATGTTTACTCACCCACCTGAAACAGTGCCAACCTGAACCCAGGTTAAGGATGTGCTTAATCTCATAGATAATTGCCCCCATGGGACTTGAAATCTGTAACACCTTGTGCTGAAAACTTCAGGTTGGCAATGTTTTGGAGGTTTCATTGTAGAAATGCCTAACATTAATTCCTGTTCTCAATTTTTGACTGATAAATCTGATTTCACTGCACTAATATCACTCTTTAGAACTGATAATCCAACACACATGAGTTGAGATTTTCTTTTTTTAGAAGAGAAGCAGACATCATCTTTCTGTATGAAAGTATAAATTGTATGGTCTCAGATCCGTCTTTGTGATATGAATTGACTAAGACAAGTGGAATCTTTGTGCTTTTTAAGTTATTGCTGTATGTATATTTTGTTTTAAATCTGATAAAATTAGGGACAGCGAGCAGCTGACTGGGATTCATGGGTTGCTCCTTGGGAGTAAGGATTATCAATACTCCTGTGAAGCAGGGGATTTCAGCCATTAGAGCAAAGATACATTACTTGTTGTCACCTGAAAGGTTTACAAGTATTTATTGTGTATTTGGTATGTTGCTTAAAGATGAAATTTGTTAAAAAAAAATTTTTTGGCTATCCATATCAAGAAGAAATCTCCTAGAATGAAATTCTTTTTTAAATGTATTAGAGAATATAGTTGCTACAAATCGATTTTTCTTGGTGAAAGAATAGTTCCATTTGGCAAAAGTTTAAAATTTGATTGAAGAAGAGAACTGGTTCGGGATGAAGATTGCCTGGTTAGAGAATTATGAAGTCCTCTAAGTACTTGTTTCTTTTTCAGGTTGTGCTATTGCCAGCTCCCAAGAGCTTTTGCTGAGCGTTTTATTTATACCTTCTGTTTTGTTGTATTAGTAAACGTTCATTTGCAGCAAAGTTTTGAAACTGCTGAATGGGAAACAGAAACACATGGTTATTGCATATTGAACCTACAATCGGTTACTGCTTAAATATGTAACAGGCCATTCTTATCTCAGAGCTTTCAATTTCCTAATATTCTTTTTGCAGACTTTATAAAGCAGAGGTTTATAGGATGGGCAGCAGGGGGTGAAGAGCCTTCATTCTTAACCTGATAAAATCATTTTATTCCCAGAGGTCAATACTGGCTGTACAGAATAGTAAAACAAACCGCTATAGTTTTCGGGGAAATGGGATCTTCTTTTTCATTGGTGCTGATACAGTGTTTAGGTAGAGGACAGTAGCACCTGGAGATGGAGTATGAATCACCTAAGCCAGTGGTTCTCAACCTGAGCTGTACTTTGGAATCGCGTGCATTTAAAAAATACTGATGCTTGATTCTGACCCTGAGATTCTGAGATGTTGGTCTGGTATCTGACCCGGCCATCAGGATTTTTAACAACTTCCCTAGGTGTGTTCAGTATGCGGCCAAGGTTGAGGACCACTGACCTAAAGTTCACCTTGAGTTTTCTCATCTGCAGAATGGAAAAACCATCCCTGCTCCCTCCCGTGACTACCTCACAAGGACATTGAGGGTGAAGGAGACAACAGCGAGAAAGCACTTGTTGTGCTATGGATAAAAGTGCTCTTGAAAGGCAAAGTAGTATCTGTTGTATTTTCATTGAAATTATCAGGACAAAAACGTGTATTTGAACTTGCCTTGTTGACATGGGAAACCGGGAGCACTTTTCTTTGGTTCTTAGTGAAGCATGCAGATGTGGAAGCAAACGTTTCTGTTATCTTATTCATACTATGTTCTGTCATACTTGAGATAGGCTGTTTGAATTATCTGGTTTTACATAGGAAAGAAGAAATAGTAAGGCTTGAAGTCTGTAATGGTCAATGGATCATAATTCATTAAAACTTTTCAGACAAGGAATTCTGTGGCTAATATCATTTCATAGTTGCCATTATTTTTTCATTATCTTGCTTTTGAATGTTACGCCATTTCACATCCCTCATCCTGATTCAAATAAGTTTAGACATAGATTTGGTAAAGCACGTAAAATAAGTAGGTTGTGCCCAGTTGAATATTTAAGGTCATGGTTCAATGATTAGGCAGCTTCTGCCTTTTAGATATGATTTGACTGGGGAAAGAGTTTAAAAAATAACAGGAACCTAAATCCTACAGAAGCTGTTATATTGTAATTAACTTTTAATTAATTCCCAAATTACTATTTATATAGACTTTAGTATTAATACTTTATTGATCGTTTTAAGAAATGAACACTTTGAAGAGAGAGAAGCTTAAGGGGTTTTAAAGATTAGTGTTGAGAAGATTACTTTTCAGAAACTGAGACCACTGTGATCAGGACCACTTTGAAGCCTTTGTTAGAAGGAACAGTCCATACCTAGCTCAAGTGCTATCTTTATAAAGCATTCCTCAGTTCTTCCAGCTGAATGTAACCCCTCCTTCCTTGAAATTTCCCTCTTTATATTTTATCTATACTTGCCATACTGTATTACTTTATACCTTGTATAAAATTATTTTTATTGATTATTTATTGGTGTCTTATTACCCCTAAACATCTTAGGAGAGTATCTCTGATGGACTCATCTTTGTGCCCCACGTCATCTAAGTCCAATGGGCAGGTGCTCATCTATTTGCTGAAGGAACAAAAAAAGAGCTATATAGGAGGAAAAATGCTCCTCTGAAGTTTCAGACTATAGAAGCAAAAGGTAGATGAGGGAGAAATTCTGTGTCCTATTCCAAGGGAAACGGGAAGGAAAGGGATGCAAATCTGAGACTAATAAGGAAGAAATAATTATTGTGAGTGCATTTCAGCCACACCCCTTTATTCATAAATATTGGTAAACTCTGATTTTTAGTTGTTGGTGTAGATTTCATTTTGTTTAGAATTAAAATTAGAACTCTGTATTTTAATTATTTTGAAATTCGTCTGTTTTGCTTTAGTTTCTTAATAAAAAGTTAAACATTAACCACTTGTAATTGCCTACATTTTAAAAAAAGAACCTTTTTACACATTGGTCAGAAAGAAAAATTGGGGGGCCTTAGTTGCCAAAAATCGTAATAGACTTTACCTGTGAATTCCGTGGCTTTTAATAATGGAATCCTTATTTCCCATGCTTAGAATGGAACATGGACAGGGAACAGTCATTCATTCGGATCCTGTTCCCCAGTTGCCTCCACCCCTAGCTAACAGTTGTTCGCCAAGAGTTTTAAGAGTTAGGCATGCTATTCCTGAACTGGCTGAGCAAATGGCTTCTGTGACCTCAAAGCTTAAAAGAAATTAATCAGTTGATCATGTTGCTAGAAGCTGCTAGATACAGTAATATGTCAAAATTCATAAAAAGGGTTTTAATTTTCTAAAGAAAAGTAGGTGTAAAATTTCTGTATTTTTTTGTTCAGTGGAAAAAGATACCAGGGACAGCTTTACCAGTCTGTTGTCCTAATTTCTTTTTTGGATCCTCCCCCGAACCGTTTGCTTTTTATTTAATGTATTCATTAGAGTACTGTTGAGAGCATGTGTTCTCTAGTCTTCAGAGGAGTAGCCTTACTTCGCCAAAGAAGACATTCAGGTGGCTAACACACATGAAGAAATGCTCACGATCGTTAGCCATTAGAGAAAACGCAGATCAAAACTACAGTGAGATACCATCTCACCCCAACAAGGCTGGCATTAATCCAAAAAACACAAAATAATAAATATTGGGGAGGTTGGGGAGAGACTGGAACACTTATACACCGCTGGTGGGAATGTAAAATGGTACAACCACTTTGGAAATCGATTAGGCGCTTCCTTAAAAAGCTAGAAATAGAAGTACCATACAATCTAGCAATCCCACTCCTTGGAATACATCCTAGAGAAATAAGAGCCATCACACCGATAGATATATGCACACCCATGTTCATTGCAGCACTGTTCACGATAGCAAAAAGGTGGAAACAACCTAGGTGCCCGTCAACGGACAAATGGATAAACAAATTATGGTATATTCACACAATGGAATACTACACAATGATAAAGAACAACGATAAATCCATGAAACAACATGGAGGAATCTGGAAGGCATTATACTGGGTGAATTTAGTCACAAGAGGACAAATATTGTATAAGACCACTATTATAGGAACTCAAGAAAAGGTTTAAATACAAAAGAAAACATTCTTTGATGTTTACGAGGGTGGGAAGGGAGGGAGAGGG